CACACACCCTAAACCAACACACCAAGGTGTGGGCTAGTAGGTGTACCCGTAGGTGTAGTGGGCAATGGGGAGGAGTCGGCCTGGTGCACACACCCCAGGCTCAACTAAATGCTGCTCACACACAAATCCTGGGTCACCAAGGTCCCTTGGTGGAAAAAACTTCCTGAACCGAGATTCCAGGCCGCATGGGACTTGGCAGCAAGTGGGCACCAGGGAGCCAGGCCTGGGTGGGGAAAGCCCAGGCGGGAAGGCAGGCACCAAGTGGGAGGCTGCACAGCGTGCCCGCAGGGCCCTTTAGCCACTATTGTACCCATTTTCCTGGAGTGGATTCAGGAAGTGAGTGGTGGTGGCCAGACCAGCAGCAAGGTCCCCAGGGAGGTGCGGCCACAACTGACAGCAAGCGCAGGAAGGCAGCAAGCAGCGGCTCAGGGAAACCAGGGGGGACACAACTGCAGAGGCAAGGACTGCGGGGACGAGCTCCAGGGGACCTCAGGGCCAGCTGAGGCGGCGGGAAAGGCAGCAACACCAGCCGAGACCCTGGAGGAGCTCTGGCCACAGACCTGGCTCCAGCCCAGCCCCTTCCACCTGCCATCAGCACCCACAGCCACACCTGGGGACCCACCGGCTGACCCAGGAGAATCACCTGAGCTGGGTCTGGCCCGGGCACAGTGGGCCCAGTAACCTTGCACCCAAACCCTCAGACAGAGAAGCACACACAGCGGCAGGGGAACTGGTGCTGCCCTCAGCCCATGGCCATCAACGCCCGGAAAGCCCCACACAGGGTCAGCATGCAGGAGGCCCTGGGCTCCATCCACAGCACCATGAATAAAAGCAAAAAGTTAAGTCCACGTGGAGATGACCTGGGAGCTGCGGTGCACCCCGTGGTCTCACATCCAGCTACTCTCAGGGCTCGGGAGGGAGGGCAGTGCCAGCAGGGCAGGACGCACTGTACCCCAGCACCAGCAGGGGCTCGCGAGCGGAGCTTTGGCACTGAACACCCAGAAATGAGCCTATCCCAATGGAGAACCCAGAAGTCTCTGAAACAACCTGACTCAAGAAGGAAGTTTATCCAAGTTGTCAACGTCTATGACAACAGGTTACAATGTAGCTGACACGGTCCGGGCGAGTTCAAGACCCAGCTCCCTGCTGCTGCCCAGGACAGCACACACGATCACTCGGCCAGCCAGACTCCACGTGTGCACCACCCCAAGACGGGAAGTCACCCGTGATGAGCGACTGAAAAGAACGAGTGAACGCTGACAGACCAAAGCACCACGACCCGGGTTCAGCAGAAAAGCCCAGCAGTCGACAGGCGCACGCTGATCTCCAGGAGCCAAAGCAGCAGGTGAAGCAGGGCAGCCGAACCAAGGACAGGCAGAGAGGAAGGGGCGCCGTCTGGGATGCACCACAGCTCCACCTCCAGGGACAGCGGCGGTCAGCTCTGCACCACCAGAGTCCACACTGGCGGGCTTGAATACGTGACTGAAAGAATCTTTCTCCTCCCAAGCTAAGAATGGAACTCAGGGCCTCACGCATGCCACACAAGCTGCCACTGGGCCACATCCTTAGCCTTTTTCTCTTTTCACAAAGACAAGGTCTTGCTCAGTTGCCCAGGCTGGTCTCCAACTTGCCACACTCCTGCCACAACCTCCCAAGCTGCTGGSATGACAGGTGTGGCCCTGGCACCTGGCTGATCTTCTCCTAAGAACATGCTACAGTGGCCAAGAGCAGCGGGCACCAGCTCCCGAGGCAGCACACAGGAAAACATGCCCAGGAAAGGTTCAGATGTGTCCCCTGCAGGCACCAGGTGGCTCCTACTCGTGGCAGATTGTTGCTGCGAGAGGACAGTCCCCAGCCAGGTTCAGAACACAGCCAAGGGTGYCGCAGGAGACTCTGACCAACACCCCCAGCAGGAAGGCCAGTGCAGGTGAGGCTGGGGGCCTGCACAGCTCAGGGGATGCTCAAGGCGCAGGAAGGCCTGGCAGGGAAGGCAGCCCCTGGAAAGGTCGGCCTGCAGAGGGCCACTGCAGGTGCGCACAGCTGACCTCCAGACTCAGGGGGAGGCTCAGACAGGACCAGGACAGGCCCTGCACAGGACCCGGACAGGCCCTGCACAGGACCCGCACACAACCCCGGCACAGTGGCACACGCCTTCACCTCAGCATCCCAGGAGCTGACGCAGGGGGACCACAAGTTGGGGACCAGCCTCAGAAACTGAGCAAGGTCCTGTCTCAAGATAAAAAATAAGGGGTGGGGCTATAGCTCTGTGGTGGAGCCCGAGTTCCATCCCCAGTAACAACAACAACAAAGAGACAAAAGCCTATCTGCAGCTGGCAGCCAGCATCAGGCCTGGTGGCCCCGCCACAGGGTCTACACGCCCCCGTGGAGGTCAAAGGGTACATGGCATGAGCCTGGGTCTGAGGGTGGACAGTGTGACTGCCTACCTGGAAAGCAAAGCAAGGGGAAAATGCCGACCRTCAGAACGGCAGGAGGCCTCCAGGCGGCCAATGAAGAACAGACCCCACCGGAACGCTGGGCACCCCAGCAGGCTCCGGAACAGGCGGCCAAGCGGCCACCGTGAAGGACTACGCCACTCTCCCAGCCAAGAGCTTATCAGACGCTGCCACAGGTCGGCTGCAGGTCGGGCCGGGGACCTCACTGTACGGCACCAGACCCTGAGCTCCATCCCCAGAACCGAAACCCACAAAAACCCACCAGAGGGGCTGCAGCGAGAGCCGAGAGGCCTGAAAACAAGAGAAAGCGCTGAGGGGAGGCGGCGGGAAGGGGCGAGCAAGCACTCGGCCACCAGCAGCAGGTGCCCTTCCCGGGCCCCGGCTCTGTGCAGAGTGGCAGGCAAGGACAGGAGCTCCTAGCACCTGGGCCTCCTCCCAGGAGCCTGGCAAGGGTCCCCTGGGCCAGGACTGCCTCCGTGTGTCCAGCCTCTTGTGCCCCCACAATCCACTGGACCCTCGGTGAACAGGACAGAGGCCCCAGGACAGGAGAGAACGCCGGAGTACAGAAGGAAAGCCACCAGGCCCRCTGGCCCTGCACAGGTGCGCAGCCGTGGACGGTGCCCCGCTAGCCTCTCTCCCAGTCCCCTGCTCCCCCTGGGACTCTGGCTGGAGTCCACTGCTGGAACCACATGCCCATGAGGGGAACGAACCACACCTCGTCCCTCGGGACAAGGAACACCACCTGCTGGGCTCACCAGGCCCCCAAACCCAGTCCCAATACAGGAGGGGAACAGGCAGGAAGCTGTCAGGGCAGGGCCAGAGGCTAGGACACACCACAGACACCACGGAAGACCGCCCTCCAGTGTCCACAGGGCGCCTGCTCTAGACGACCAGCTCTCTAGGGAGAGGGGTCCCTGTACAAAGTTCTGGGAGCCCAGTAACCCACAAAGGTCTGGCCACAGAGGGCCTGCAGAAGGGCCAGGAAGGTCAGTGGACAGAGAAACAGAAGCCATTCACCTCACCTCCACGCCACACCTACCTGTGAGCCTGGGGCAGAGAGAGGGCAGGTAAGGGGCACAGGTACTCTGTGACAGCCCCTGGGCCTGACCTTCTGCCTCGGCCAGGAAACCTCAGCCCCTCTGGTTCCTGGGGGCTGCTTCCAGGGCGATGGGAGCCCATGGGGATTTCCAAGCCTCAGGGAGTGCCAGGGCAGCCCAGGGTCACTTCCCCAGAAAAGCCAGGAAGGGACAGTAGGGGTGGCACCACTCCTCCAAATCCCCTCCCCAGCAGAGCCTGCAGCGGACTTCAGAGAAAACCACTAGACAGAAAGTTCCACCCATGCCAGAGACCAGGAAGAACCTGCCTGAGAGCCCAGGAGGACAGACAGCTCCACCAAGAAGCCAGGTGCAGAAGGATTGCAAGTTCGAGGTCAGCCTGGGCAACTTAGCAAGACRCTATGCAACCCCATGAGAACCTGCCTTAAGAGAAAAAAACCTGAAAAGGGCTGGGGACCTGCTCAGTGGTTGAGCGCCTCTGGGCTCGATCTTGGGGCTCGAGACAAATCAAGGGCTGGGCTGGGCCCAGTGGTGAGCGCCTGACTGCTGTGTGTGAGGCCCGGGTTTGACCTCAGCCCCACACAGAATCAAGACACTGTGCTCCTCGACGACACCACCCACCGAGAGGCCCCAGAGCAGAGCGTGAGAGTGCCTCAGGACACGTGTGCCAGGCCCTCCCACCACACCTGCCCCAGCACCTCTGCCCACCACCTCCTGCGCTGTGTCCCCCCTGCCTGGCTGGCTCCCCTGTGCTGCAGGGTCCTGCCTCAGGGCACCAATCTGCTCACACCCAGTGGGCTCCTGTCTGCCCCTCAGCTCCTGCCCACCTCCCTGGAAGGGGGGGGCGAGGAAGAGCAAGGCGGTGGGCTTGTGTTCCCACCCCACCCAGGGAGGGCCTGGGCCTGTCAGGGGCTCAGAGTGACACAGCTGGGACAGATCCCGGGGCCCAGTTTCCCCCAGTCCGGCCCTGGCTGTGCCCATCTCCCTGTCCACCCTGCCCATTGCCATGCACACAGATCATCAGGGTGACCAACTGCCCAGGTCTGCCTGGGATTCTCAGGATATGAATGCTCAAAGGGCCAGATCCCAGGACAGCAGAGGCCCAGTGTGAGAAGCTCTTCCCTGAGCAAAGACAGGTGGAACCRAGTGAGGCCTCCCCTGGGCTGGCAGGCCAGAGGTGGGTGGGATTCGTGATGGGATGCATGAAACAGGTGACCACCACTACGTGGGCCCAGGCCCGTCCTAAGAGCAAAGCCCACTCCACCCCAGGCGGGCCAGGATAGAACAAGGGGACGCTGGGCTGTCCACAGGATAGACCCCTGGTCTCTGGCCAGGCCCTGGTACACTGGTAAGAGTGAGGGCGGCCCACCCTCAGGGTGCTCTTAAGCCCACAGCCCCACACCCACAAGCGCGTGCCCAGCGCTGTGCTGTCCTGTAGCGGCCCTCCCCATCCACCTCTCAGGCACCTGTGCCACAGGAAACCTGGGCTCACCTGAGCTTGTGAACTGAGCTCCCGCCAGGGAGGCCGGCCGGCCCTTCCCGTTGGCCACAGGCAGCGGAAACATCTGCAGAGACAGAGCAGGAGAGCAGTGAGTGGGGTGGCCAGCAAACCCCACCCCAAGGCTGTCTCCTCGCAGGAACACAGGGCTCTGGCACACTGGGACCAGTTCTGCTCAGACATGTCCACCCTCCCAAGACCCAAAAACTTTGAGGCCGAGGCTAGGGTCAAGCCCTGAAACCTACTGCCAGGGCGGGAAAAGGCGCAGGAGCAGCCAGCTGCCCAGGCCCACCCAACGCCGGAAAGGGCAACCAGGACCTGCAGGTGACTCAGTGTTGGAGCACTGGCCCCCCACCCAGGAGGCCCGGGCCCACCTGGCATCACAGATGGGATACCTGCTGAAGCAGCGGATACACAGTATCAGCTTTAGTGATTCGAAGTTCTTTCCTATCTCAACTCAGCAAAGGAGACGGGTGCTCACCCCAACAGATGGAGGAACAGAAACCCACTTCAGGCCAGAGCCCCAAGGTCCGGCTGGGCACCAGCACCCTGGGCTGAGGTTCTCTAGCAGGACAGACACACGTGAGGGGACTATGCGGAGGGGGCAAAGAGGCGAAGCGTCCCCATGTGAGGTCTGTGCTCCCACGACACCCTCCCAGGGGACAGTGTGGGCCTGTCGGAGGAGAGACTTGAGGCTCAGAGTGGCAATGCCGGGTGGATCCAGTGTGCAGCGTGGATCCCCTAGACACCGAGGGGGACAGCCACCCGCTGCAGGTACTCAGGGTGCCCAGTCCCTAAAGACTAAACAGCTTAGCACTGCAACCAGAAAGACCCCACACCAACAATCCCTTTTGYCTCAGAAAAAATAAACCATGTGTGCTCTACCCCAAGGGGCAGGGTGTGGGAGACCCACTCTATGCTCAAAGGGAATGCTGGGGAGCACCACCCAGTCCCAACACCCCTGCCAGCCAGGAGGTGCCTGCACAGCACCATGCCAGGGCTCAGTGCCCACTGTCTCAGGAGAAACTGAGCCCGCACTGCCTTCGGCCTGGCTCATGGAGGAGGGGTGTCCAGGCTGAGGGGTTCTCAAAGGGGTCCACGGCTCAGTGGTGCTCATGCACCAATGGAAACCGGCCCAGCCTCCGCAGGGCTCTGTTCTCCCAAAAGAACCCTTCTCCCATTGGGGTACCCGGGGTCTGCTTCGGCAGGTCTAGCCTGAGGCCACTTGTTTTGTCCCCAGGATGCAGGGAACTACTGACAAGGCACCGGGGGACCCTGGGCCGTGTCTCATGGGTTCTGAAGGCCTCATGATTAACCCAGAGCTACCCCTCATCCTTTGGAGCCCCAGTGCTTCCTTCTGTGGGGCGGACTCAGGGCTGGGCCCGACTGCAGTCCTGTGTGCAGTAGGGAGGGGCCTCTGTCCATACCCACTGGGGACGCTTACTGGCACTGGGCAGTGGGGTACCCATCAGCACCAGTCCAGGGCTCCCAGGTCCTCAATGCCTCTCGCTCTTCCTTCTAACCATAAAGTTCAAGTCCAGGCTCAGGTCCAGCGGGACTCTTGAGGTCACCGCTGCTCTCCTCTTTGTGTTTAATATGCCACTGACTTTCCCACCCCACACGAGTCTGCCCAAGAAGGGATTCCCTTCAAGGTCTGTTTGTCTCAGCCTGAAAGTCCTTACTCAAAGAAACAAGTCCACCCCATGTCCCTGGTCAGTAAAGGGCACTGCCTGTGCTCCCTGACCCGACCAGACAGGCTTTCCTGTAACACCAAGAGGGTTAAAACCCACCTCTGGGCTGGGCCTGATGTTGCATGCCCATAATCCCAGCAGCTTGGGAGGCTGAGACAGGATGATCAGGAGTTCAAAGCCAGCCTCAGCAAAAGCAAGGTGAGATCCTGTCTCTAAATAAAATACAAAATGGGGCTGGCCATGTGACTCAGTGGTCAAGTGCCCCTGGGTTMAACTCCCATACCAAAAAAACACCTCCTCTCTGGGTGAAGGGGGTCCTGGGAGGAGCCAACCCCAACCCCTCGGGCTGTTTCCTCCTCTGTGAGCGGGTGCTGGTTTTGACCAGGGTGGGAGAAGACTTAGGGTCCTGGGGACAGCAGGGGAGATGAGAAGTGGTTCAGGACTGTGAGTGGGGAGAGGGAGCTAGCCCTGCAGGGCTGAACCCAGGCTGCCCCCACTAGGCTGTCTGTTCCAGCCCAGTAGTCTGTGACCTGTCAGTTTAGCACAAAAACAAGCAAACTGTACCTCCGGTTACTCAGCCGGAGAGGTAAAAATAAGACGGGGCTTAAAAATACTGGCATGGCCCTTCCGGAGCCGGCCGCCATGTCTGGGGGTTGTCTCTCCAGTGTGGCTGGGGCCATTTCAGTCTGGAGACCTGTTCCCGACCAACCTCAGTGGCCTGGCCTGTGCAGGGGAGGGATCAGTACAGCACCCTCCCCACACTGCTTCAGACCAAATGGGGCTCATGGGGGTGAGGGCTGGAGTCTAAGGAGTGCCCACAGACACAAGAGAATAAAACAGGATTCTCGGATTTTTTTGGAGGAAATGCTGATCCCCTGACACCCAAAATGAGGGTCCCGAGCCTTTCCATCAACACCCAAGGAGACTGCTGGCTCTAGCCTCTCTGGACCTGAGCCCTGTAACCTTGGGGCCAGCACCTCTGGGCCTCCACCTGCAGAGGGGAGAACGGGGCGCTCAGTAAAGAGTCAAGACTCAGGAAACCTGAGGACTGCCCGCCCTCCCCTGCAGCCTGGACCAGCTGCCCCCGGTGCTCTGTGCTCACATGGACCCTCTAAGGACTCAGCCCTGTTAACCATGGAGTGTGTAACACCTGTGTCCTTGGCACGTGGGGACAGGGACCCTGGTGCAAGTTGAAGTGCCACCACTTCCCTGAGGGTCTCCACCAGAATCTCCACTTTCCTTTTCTGCTCCACAAGGGACTGAACCACCTGACCACACTCGGGACCCTGCTCACTGCTCTCACAGACCAAGGTCACTGAATGCTCACCCAGCCAGGCTGGGGCCTCAGGGAGCAGCACTCCCGAGTTCCAGCCCCAGGGAGAAGCTTGGGACCCTGGCAGTCCCTCAATTTCTCCATCTACATATAGTGGTAGGCAATCTCCATTCTGTGGCTGAAGAGAACTCTGGTGTTGCGCACACTGCCATGGGGGTGCTGGCTTGCCCAGGGGTACCCTGACCCCAGCCCCACTGGGGCAAACTCCCAGAAAAGCGAGAGGCTCAGCACTCCTCGGGGAGTACTCTGGGCAGACAGTCCCAAGAGCAGCAGGCTTGGGCAGAGGTGGGCAGGAAAGGGGTCTAGCTCACCATGCTGAAGTCCAGGAGGTCACTGAGCTCCTTGTCGGTGCCCACAGGGGCCATCCTCTGYGATTGGCTCATTCTCCAGCAACAGGGGCAGGCACAAGAACCAGGGAAGGCCCTCCAGCCTAGAGACAGCCCTGCACAGTGGCCGCAGGGACAGACCAACAACACACAAGGACAAACAGGGAAGGGAGAGAAGGGTTTTCAGTGACCATAGCCCAAGTGGACAGGTGGGAAGCAGAAAGTTGAGTCCCTTCCTGACCCTGAGTGAAGAGGGCAAGGAAGCTGAGATCCTGAGGTTTGGGTCCTCTGCAGACCCCTGCCTAGAGCCCATARGGAGACTAGGGAGAAGATGAATATAAATCTGGTCAATCCCTGAGAGACCACCAGGAATCAGGTTGCAAGCTTTAAATGCAGGGGCCCAGGATCTCTCATTTCCAACAACTACTTTCAGGCGGCCCTGCCAGCCCCGCCCCTGGGGGGAGGGGCGACCCAGGACCCGCCCCAAGAGAAATTTGGTGGACCCCTCCCCAGCACCTGTCATAGCACGCTGAGGGCTGATCACCCCCAAACACAAAGCAAAACAAATCCACAAGTCACAAAGCCACGAAACCCACCTCGGCTTCTGGACTTAGTTGGGAGAAGGGAGACCAGGAGGCCTGACTCAGGGATCAGAAAGCTTCCCGCCACCCTTAACCTCGGATCCGCCCTCCCCACCCCCCCCAACTCAACCGAATACAGATAAAAAGAAAAAAAAAAAAAAACAATCCGAAGTTGTTTTATTGTCACGATGTATCCGGGAATTATTTTTAAGCAACTTTAAAAACATCCCTTACCTCCCACCCCTGGGGGGGAGGGTTCCCCAAGACCTGGGATTCCCCACCTGGTCCCCAGGGACTCCATCCTGGGATGGGGGATGGGGGAATCCACCTGCCAAGCCCCCTCCCACCCCCGGAAAGGGAGCAGCACAGGACCTCCCTCCCAAAGAACTTTTTCCAGGGTTCCCCAGGCGGGGGTGGCCAAGAAGAAACCGCAGAGGCTGGGGGAGGGGAAAGGGTTCCGAGATAGAGGGACACCCAACTCCAGAGGCAGAGGACCCCCCCTTTGTGTGCCAACGCCAACACCGGGTGTGAAACGGTGACCCACGGGCCCCCTCCCCCGCTTTTTTCTTTCTTTTTTTTCCTTTTTGGAGGGCGTGTGAAACTGACTTTGAGTTGTGCGAAACCGCACTTTTTTGTGGGGTAGCTGAAACCCATTTTCAGGCCAACTTGGGGAGGGCTGAAACGAGCCTTTAACATAGAGATAAGATTTCTGGGGTGTCACAACAACTTTGGGGGACTGGAAATGGACTGGACGTCTGAAAACAATTGGGAGGGGAGAAAAAAACCTGATACTTCTTTTAATRCGGAGAGGAGGAAGCCGGGGTACCCCCCCTTCCCGGGGCAGCCAGTGCGGCCCGGGAGTCCTTTGAAGCTCGCCGCGCCACCGCGGTGTTCTCGACCCCGACCGCCGCCTCGCCCCGCACTAACGCGGAGCAGATGTTCGCGCCCGGCCCCGGCCCTTCACCCTGAGCCTGCGTGCGCGCGGCGGCACCTTCCCCGCGCAGACAAAAGGACTCTCCTCCCTCCCTCGCTCCCCCTCCGAACTCCAGTCCCGGCCGGGGCCCCTCCCTGAGGAGGGGCGACCTGGGACCACCGCACTGGGGCACTGGGGCCCCGCCGCAAAGTTGGGCGACCCCTCTGGCGCCCCCCGCGCGCCGGCCCGAGCTGCGCAAAGTTTCCCAAGTGCGAGTGGCGGAGGGCGGCGCGGGCCCCTCCACGTCGGTCGCCCCCTCCGGCGCGCAAAGTTGGAGAACAATGCGGCCCGGGCGACCGGCCACCCCCAGCTGCCCGGAGGGGCGCGCACCCCACGGCGCCCGCGCCCAGCCCCCCACGCCCCCCGCGGAGCCCGCGGTCAACTTCGCACAAAGCGCCAGGGGTCCCGGGCGCGGCCCCGACGCCGCACGCCTCTCCCCGGGTCCCCGAGCGTTTACCTGCTCGGCGCGGCCCGGCACGCGGCGCGCGGGGGGCGGCGGCATGAACGGCCCCCCCCCGGACAAAGGGGCGTCACGGCCGGGCCCCCGAGGGTCGCGCGTGGGCGGCGGCGGCGGCGCGCGTGGGCGGCCCCTCCCCCGCCGCGTTGCCGCCCCGCGAGGCCGGCCGGGGCGCTGGGGCAGCGGTGTACGGTGCCCGCGGTGCCCGCCGACCGCGTCGGGTCCGGCTCCGCTCCGGMCCGCTACGCCCGCGGCGGCGGTCGCTGCCTCATCTTCCTGCGGCGGGAGACATGTTCCGCCCCCCGCCCCGCGCCGCCCGCGCCGGCCCCGCCCCGCGCCGGCCCCGCCTCCGTAGGACCCCGCCCCCCGCGCCCCGCCCGAMGGCACTCCGCGGATCCCTCCGCCACGTCCGCGCGGCCCCGAACCCGCGCCTCGGCCTCCCGAGCTCCCTCAGGAGAGCCCTGAAGTTCCGCAGAGCTGTCGTCTGAGAGTGAGTGATCCCGGGGCAGATAGGTCGGCCAAGGCACGGGAACAAGCTTGGAACTATCTTCCTACGCGGAGGTGCACGCGAGCTGAGAGTAATACCATGACGCAAGCGGAAGACCCGTGAGATTGAAAGATAAAGAAGAGCCTCAGTAACCAATCGGAAGCTGTAAAATCCTGCCTGGCGGGGCTTCCAGCCATTCGTGAAGTAGCCCCGCCTCAGTCCGTTCGCCCCACGATAGAGGCGGGACTCTCCGAGCGAGAGGCCGCGAGAAGCGGTGTCGGGGAGTGGGTATTGAGGTTTTATTCTCAGGTTGGTGTGGCCGCCCGCCTGGTCGCGTCAGCTTGGTTGTATCTGAGTTTCTAGGGGTGGCTCCGAGTGCTTGTGTATTGAGAACGGGCATACCAAGCCAGGAGGTAACATCGTGTCCATTTTACTGGCGGGGAAACCGAGGCTTGCTTCGTTTCAGGTTCAGAGAGCTCCAAGTGAAACCCGTGCTGTGCTACTTGGTGTGTCTCGGTTTCTTCATCTTTAAAATAGATTTTGGACTTGAGTTTGGACAGAATCAAGTCCGTATGTGCCTTTGTGATTCTCAGCTGTGTGTGCATTTTGGTCAAACTTTCCGCTCATGCCAACCGGCTCTTCAGCCTTTGAGGACCGTGGACCATGCAGAATCAGAACAATAAAGTAATAAACAAAACACAGTCTTCTGAGGCTCGCGGGGTCCCAGAGAGAAATCAACTCCCTTCACTTGGCACCCTGAACCCTCTTCCCACAAGGTCTGTAGCCCCCAGTTCACAGTTGAGTGCCACAGGGAGTGGAACTGAAGGGGAGGAAGAAAAGTGGGTGTCGGGGAGGCACAGGGGTGCCTAATAAAGCTACAGGCCAGCTGGACTCACCCTCCATCCGACCCCTTCCAGGCCAGAGCCACTCATCTCCTGCTCTGCAGAGATGGGTGTGGGTCTCAGGGAGCAGCCTACACCCTTGCACTGAGACCTTGGGCACGTTCCTGATACTTTCTGCTTTCCTACTCAGTTTCCCCGCCAGGAAAGTGGAAGGAAGGGTGCAAATACACACACACACACACACACACACACACACACACACACACACGTGCTCTCAGCTCATGCCTCATGCTTGTAGCCCTGGAGCGCCTGTCTCTGGAGGGAGGGTGCCTTAGCCCTTACAGTGTGGGTCTCGTGGCCTCTGGCCAGTTTTGGCACTCTCTAGCCCCAGCTTGGGGCTTTCTTGAAAACTGGAACTGAGGCCTCTGGGGACCCCCAGCCTCTCAGTGGGGGTCAGCCCACCACCCCAGCCATGCTGGGGAATGGACCAGAGAGCGCTCTTCAGTTTCACCCAGGGGCAGGAAGAAACATCCAGTCCAAAACCATCCCATCCCTGAGTGCAGACAGACAGCACACCAGGGTGGGTGCTGGGCATGGGACACCAGTGACCCCAGTCCTGTCCTCCAGGGCGAGGAGAGCTGTCCGAGACCATGGGTCCCACAGGTGAGCTTTTCCAGGGTTGGCTATCGGGTCCCCATGCCCAAGTGATCCATTGCACTAAACAGATGAGGAGACCTGGAGAGCTCCCTGTGGGGCCCCAGCAGCCTGGGGCTCACACCTGCTAGGAGGCTCTGCCAGAACCCACAGGCACCGTGTCTTTCCTGGGAGGCCATCTTGGGGCTGGGTCACCGGGCGGAACAGCCCATGGGGGCCCCCCTTGGTTGCCACCTCTGCCTAGCCCAAGGCCTGGGTGCATCCTGCAGGGCCTGGCACCCAGACAGGCCGCCAGTGCTGGTGCCAGGGCCCCTCGAGGGCAGCCCACAGCCCTGGTGCCCCACCCCCTGACTGCAGCCTTTGTTCTGTGGGCACCGTCACCAGAGCCTCTGCACCTGCCACTGGCCCTTTATTCCAGCCACACCTACTGTGCGCAGGGCCTGAGGCCTGCACCCAGCCATTTCTGGTGGAAAGATGAAGTCAGGGATGAATTCCCACCAGGGGAGCRCAGAGACCACAGCTGCAGGTGGTGGAAGCTTCTGGAAGGCAGACAGTAGGTGTGCAGGCACAGGCGCTTGCCCCGGGTAGAGTCAGATCTATGCCTGGGGTTTTCCCTCGAGCTCTCCACCTGCCTCCCCCCGTTCAGCGTCCCCTAGGAGGAGGGCCAGGGCTGGCAGCAGACTCACAGCCACTGGACTCAGGAGCTGAAGCCACCCGGGTGGGGGCCGCCCCAAGGTGGGGGCTTCTTGCTCCACTCAGAGTCCTGTCCGATCCCAAGACATCCAAGTCCAGCCCACTGCCCCGCAGCACTGGGCTTCAGTCGCCCGCCGGAGACATGTCTCCTCCCAGACTTACAGAGGCAGCCTCCCCAGCCTGTTGGTGGGGCCTGTTGGTGGGGCCTGGCCGGGGAGCCTCCAGGGACACAGGGTGGAGGGCCACGGAGGGAGGAGACGTGGTCACGTTGGGCATAGGATGGACAGGTGTAGCTCAGTGGTGTGAGGCCCCAGGCTTCCTTCCCAACATCCCCTTAAAAAAAAAAAAAACCTCAGAGGGAAGCTGAAGGATGGGGCCACTAGGTGTCCCCAGGCCTGGTCACAACTTCAGCAGTTGGTCCTAATCCTTGGCACTCCCCGCCACAGCACTGCAAGGAGGGGAGGGCACCCTGAGAATCTGACCCCTGGCTCCACGCAGACTTGTCCTGGGTGCCGGAGGCCGGGAGAGCGGGGCAGGGTGGCCGAAGGTGACAGGAGAGCCGGCCGTGAAGCCCCCGCTGTGGTCTGAGCACATCTCAGGGCACCCCAGCCCCACTGGGGTCCCCGAGGGCAGAGACTCTTGGGCTGTGGCCGCAGATAAGGAGCCAAGGGAGAGACGGTGGCCCCAGGGTGGGGCCAGGCAGGCCATGTTTAAGGAAGAGGCCTAGGGGGCTGGACAGCAGAGAGACCAAGAGAGGACCCAGGTCAGAGAGGGGGTCAGGACCTGGTTCACCGCAGGAAGGCCTCGGGGCCCCCAGGGGCTGAGCAGAGGAGGGTGGTGGCCTGCCTCATGCTGCCACCGGGGGAGGGAAAGGGAGAGAGAGTGGGGCTGTGGGCGCGGCCTGAGGCCCAGAGGAGCCTGGGGAGGCTGAGGAGCAGCGACCCCGGCTGGAGGATGAGGGGCTGCCCAGGGCCAGGCGGGAACTAACAGGGACAAGAGGTCCTTATACCAGGGGAGTGTCCAGGCCCCGTGGATGGTGCCTGGCACCGCCAGGAGGGGCAAGAACAAGTGAGTGGAGGGTCCCCATCCCGCAGAGCCCTGGCCCCCCAGCTGAGCTCCAGCTCTTGCCCACCTTGGACTTGGCCCAGAACGCCAGCCAAACCCCAACCCAGCTGAGCCCCTCAACATGGACAGAAGCCCCATCCAGGCTTAGTGTGGTCCTGGATGTAGCCCAGCCTGCTCTCCCCCGATGCCCCCACACCCTGCCACCAGCCATCACCACCTGCTAAGGTGCCCTACCGTCTCCTGGCCAGGTGCCCTGGGGCCCGTCGCACCACGTTCCGGACAGCCTGTGCAAACAGGGGGCACCTCCACATCGCCCCCCACTGGGCAGTGTCTGGCCCAGTTATCCCTGGGGGGGGGGCAGGAACAGGGAGGCCAGCAGGCCAGCAGGTCACTCCCACGGGCCTAACCCAGGTGGCCCCTGCTGACCTCTGGGTGGGGTGGCCCCTGCCCACTCTGGGCCTGATGGGGGTGCCCCCTCTTCCCAGGGGAGCTCTGCCTGGGGAGCAGAGGCAGTCTTCCATTGCTGAGAGGCTGCCTCCAGAGGCCCCTGGCCTGAGGACGGGCCGGGCGCCGGCCCAGCTCCTGAGAGGGAAGAGGCCCTCCAGGCTGCGGACCAGGCCTCGCCGAATATCCTGAGGGCCTGCACCCTGCTGAGTGTGTGGCCTCACCCGGCAGGAGGAGGGTTGGGGATCCAGGTGGAGGTGGAGACCTGGGGTGGGGTGAGATGGCAGGAAGAAGCCCACTTCACAGGCATAGCCTCCCCCAGACAGAGCAGGACTTGGGTTCCGCAGACTGAGGGTGTGGGCAGGATCCAGGCAGGGACTCTGGCTGAGCCTGGGTCTGCAGGGGGCTGCCGGGGCCCAGGAGCTGGCCAAGGTGCTGTGACCCAGAGCTGGAAGGCAGGGTGGTGAGGAGGGATGGCCGGCCCCGGCTGGGCCCAAGCTGAGGCAGGCCGGGTGGTCCCGTCTCACCAGACGCCAGCCTTGGCCTCCTTTGACCGCCTCCGCTGCCGGCGCCTGGCTGTCCCTCCCTGGTCCCCAGGGCAGGCCAGGCTCCCTGCCCACTTCACCACCTCTCRACTTTGCCTTGTGGGGTTTTGGGTCACTGGCAGCAGATCGGGGGCCCCAGGAGAAGAGACTCCCTGCCTCGTTCTTGCACTGAGAGGTACTCCGACCCGCAGGGCCTGTGAGTGCAGGGCCTGGGGGGCGCAGGGGCTCACTCAAAGGGCGTGGAGTGCGAGGGCGGCCCTCCCAGGGTCTGCTCGGGCCTGGCCCCTCCATGTGTGGGCTGTACCAACCTGGGTGGGGGCTGCCGGAGTCAGGAGCCTGTTCCCAAGCCCCAGGG